CCCCATACCTCTCACTCACACCATCCACTGGACCACTCACCCCATACCTCTCACTCACACCATCCACTGGACCACTCACCCCATACCTCTCACTCACACCATCCACTGGACCACTCACCCCATACTTCTCACTCACCCCATCCACTGGACCGCTCGCCCCATCCACCGGACCACTCACCCCATACCTCTCACTCACACCATACCTCTCACTCGCCCCATCCACTGGACCACTCACCCCATACCTCTCACTCACACCATACCTCTCACTCACCCCATCCACCGGACCACTCACCCCATCCACCGGACCACTCACCCCATACCTCTCACTCACCCCATCCACTGGACCGCTCGCCCCATCCACTGGACCACTCACCCCATACCTCTCACTCACACCATACCTCTCACTCACACCATCCACTGGACCACTCACCCCATACTTCTCACTCACCCCATCCACTGGACCACTCACCCCATACCTCTCACTCACATCATCCACTGGACCCCTCACCCCATACCTCTCACTCACACCATACCTCTCACTCACCCCATCCACCGGACCACTCACCCCATCCACCGGACCACTCACCCCATACCTCTCACTCACCCCATCCACTGGACCGCTCGCCCCATCCACTGGACCACTCACCCCATACCTCTCACTCACACCATACCTCTCACTCACACCATCCACTGGACCACTCACCCCATACTTCTCACTCACCCCATCCACTGGACCGCTCGCCCCATCCACCGGACCACTCACCTTACTGCGGTACTTCTCGGTTCCCAGACGGAACTTGACGTAGGGGTCACTCAGTCCGTTATCGTCCATGGGTACCAGCCCGTTGCCCTCCACCAACACGATATTCACCATGCCGGTCCACGGCTGCAGCTTCATCTTTCTGGCGGATTCGGAGGATCGCATGGAGCGTCTGAACAACTGGAAGTACAAACAAGAGAGCGATTAGTATTAAATACGACAAATATATATGAGCGTCTGAACAATGGAAGTACGCACAAGTGGAGAACCATTAGTATTAAATACGACAAATATAATATATAAACCTCTGAACAATGGAAGCAAAACAACAGGAGAAATAAGGGCTTTGGCGTTGTTTGTTCGTTTTGTTTGAGTAATGTTTTAGAAAGCGTTTTACGGCACTTGCAACACATATAAGTACCGAAGATTAGATGTTACAAGAGAGTAACAAAAATACAAAAAGAGGGAGAGTTCAGGACAATAGATGCTTGATAGGAAAGAAGAACAAACAAACCACACCACAGCACCTGCCAACCACTCACATTGTTTGAGTTAAAAGAATAATGGTCATTTAGTACAGCTAAAAAAGTAAGACAGACAGAGAGAAACAACAGAGGGAAAGTAAAGAAATAGGATCTAACAGTGGCGCCCTCCACCCGCCCGGAGACACATTAGCATTAAACACGACATTATACATGCATATATCAGCGTCTGAACAACTGTAAGCAAAGCAAGCGGAGAATAATTACCATTGGCACGGCAATCTACGTCATTATCTCATTGTTGACAACCCTGATGACGTAAAAGATCCCAATGCTTTACAGTATTTACAGGATATATTTTTCCGTAGTTGAACAAATATGACTACGACAACGTGGTAAACCAAACGACTTAATGCTGAAAAAAAACCAACCCCGCGAGGAACGCTTACTTAATTACAAACAATCAGGGGAAGTGACAAGTGCAGTTTCTAGAACATTTGAATCGACATGAAGGCCCTGACAACGTGCTCTCACTGGAAATATAGAACGGCAAAAAGGCAGAGGAAGAACACAAAAACTTTGTTAGTGATCTTGAACTGACGGGTGACGGGGAAAGGCTTGAATACTAATTATAGTTTTGCTTAGGATGGGTAGGTCATCTCTTGTTCAGCTCGCCATTCTTAAAATAAGTGGTCATGGGTGTTATGAAGATTTATCGAGAACCCTGACATCCACCCCATCACAGTCTGCTATGTACTGGCAGGCTCATAAGTATTGCCAGTCGTAAATACATGGTTACAACCATGTCATGCATACCATATCGTGAGGGCCCTCGTTGATGCTACGGGCTACTTTATTTCTCTTCTTTTGGAGGACTGCCGCGTGTCGGCTAGCCCATGCGACTAAGAGGAAGAGATTTACTTTCGTGTGGACCTTTTTTGTATTATGTCAGGTGTCGGGGGGGAGAGAGAGAGAGAGAGAGAGAGAGAGAGAGAGAGAGAGAGAGAGAGAGAGAGAGGGAGGGAGGGAGGGAGTGATCTATAAAATAAGTTGAAAGTTGAACACAAATCCGTTCGAGAAAAGCAGAGGAGAAAATACGCCGAATGAAACAATCATTTGTGTGGTAGGTAGAGTTCAACGACAGATGCAACAATTTTCTGCAAGATTTCAGACCAAAGAATTATGGTGCAAGGACCTAGATATCATTTTTTCCCCTATAAAAAGAAACTCACCGACACAATAACTGCTCCCTCAGTATTGAAAATCAAACCCCATCAAGACAGACAAACAGAAACACTAGAGATTAGATATATTAAAGGAAAAGTACAAACCAGAAACCAGAGGCACCCTCCAACCACATCAATACATTTCTTTGCTCAAACTCTATTGAAAATTACTCCTGTGTGTGCACATGAGGTCATAATATTAGCAGATAACGAGCTCCCGTAGGGTAAGATTTATATAGAGTGCGTCACTGTTCAACACGACAAAAGGCAACATATTTTAAAAAAAGGTTGGTGGGCGCCATATATAACATCACGGATGAGATTACTTAATTTTGCTAGTTCGGATAACAAAGCTACACCGTGCAGAGTGGCAGTACAACTATCGTAACTCGGGTTTTTCGGATTTTACAGAAGTGTAAAAACACTGATTTTTCACCAGTATGTTCATGAAATGTAAAGGGAATTTTAACTTAACGTGTACTTTCACAAAATAGTCGCACGGCTCTGAGATTTCTACGAAGCGTGCACCCTTTTCCCAAAACCTCGAATAACGATACTTAAGCTGCTAGTCTGCGCACCCAACTAAATGGAAAATTAGAGTCCGGTGACCTATGCTGAGGAGTCACGTGACCTAGCCGAGAGGGCAACGCCTTGGACAATGAGCTGTTTTACTGGCGTCTGTGGTGTAGTCGCTATAGGCTCATCGCAGCTGTATGTTTATAACGTGGGTTCGATTCCTGTGTGGGGAAGGTTGATCGAAAATCTCCGTCTGCCTGCTGGGATGATGTATCCTACCCCGCTAGGGTTAGTCCTGACAGGCAGGGTCAAAGCAGCCTGACTCCTAAAATATTTGAACTGTGTCTATGTGTGTGTGGAATATTTACAACAAGATAATAAGGAACTTTTTGTTACAAAATAGAGGTGTAAGTTCTGGAATCAGACTTCGCATGCAACATTATCTATTTATTACTTCAAAACTAAACCTCTTTTAATGTCTCCCCCTGAAAAAAAAATGAAATCATAATCAGTTGTCATAAAAACATATATTATTTTGTCGAATGTTCTCCACCCGCCCTTCATTGATGGTAGAAAGATCACGCGATGACCAATGATGTCAACAAAGATATTTTGTTTCAAAGCAAGAGCCATAACGATCGTTGTCGCACCACATCATGAATATTCATAACCAGCACAAACACACATGGACAGCAAAGAGAATACATCGCCCCAAACAAACAAATTTGTTGGCTTGTGTGTTTGTCTGAGTAAAGAGAAGCACATCGACTCAATAATGACCATTTAGTGCAGGGAAAAAGTAAGATAGATAGAAACATTATATACAAAGATGGACAGTAAAGAAGTAAGACCTACCAGTGGCGCCCTCCAATCGCCCACTCCAAACAAACTGCTACAGACATTTAGTAATACTGGACGAGAAGAGGACAACAAGCTCACAGTCACAGAATTAAAGTAGATCAGTGTTTTACAAACTACTGATAATCTGATAATTTTAGTAACATTTTTTCAGGTAACTGCAACACAATTAAGTCATGTAAGTGCCGAAGATCAGAGGTTTCACAAGAAAGTAATGAACTAAAAAAACCACCAAAAAAAGTAGGCGAGACACGACATAGTTTGACAGGAAACAAGGAGCAAACTACACCAGAGACCCACCAAAAACCCGTTAATAATCTGAATAACGATTGAAGTGAGGTTATGCTACTGCTTTCCGAGAACTTTGGAAAAACAGAAGAAGGTAATACACTTAACATAATATCAATAACAAAAGTTTTCACAATGACGGGCAGAGAGGTAAACTGTAGACGCTAAACAATAGATAATATATTTACGCACACCCACGCACAAGCACACACACACACACACATA